GATGTTTTAAGGATTCTTCTGGCCGACGTCCCAAATATAGTGTTTGCGGCACGAATTAGGACTGCCATGGCGCGACAGTCACGTAGATTCGCGATGCTGACGTTCCAGAGGTGGTGCTTCGGCACGATTTGGGATCGTCAGATCGCAACAGTCACATTGATTCGCAAATGTAATAAAGATGTGTTGGGTAGTCCGCAGTTTCCACACCCAACTGCATGAGGTAATGGGTAGTCATGAATAGTCGGTACATGCCGTGTGGTATCATGTCCTATGTATGCTGTGCTGGGAGATAAGACCTGGGTAGTCGCATGGGTCGCTGTTTTGCCAGAGTGGTGATGGTGGCAATGCAGTTGGATATGGTGGTTCATCTTCTTCACCTTCTGCAACAATCTCGTAGTCCCTGAAGGTTCTCCAGACTTCATGCGTTTGTTCGGCTACCAGCTGTTCCAGAGGTGGTGGTGCAGCTTTAGTGTCGCATGTATGGCATGTTGTCTCATCCGAATCAGTCTGCTGGGGTCGTTTTCGCACGATCCCGTCTTTGATTGAATAATGCCGCTCGCTATCGCACTCCCAAGATACCAGTAATCTGGGATGGGAGGTCGAGGTACTCGACGGAGCTCGTGAGCAATTTGTTCTCGCCTGTCGGTGCCTGGCCTGCTGGCGGTGTACATGTTCGTACGAGGTGTTGGGTGGAGCCGCAGTTGTGGCAGGTCATAAATTTCCCGTCGCGGCCACTAGGACTGCGTTTCCGCCTTTTCCTTTTCCCGAAGGATCTCTGGTGGTTGCGGGAGCCTTCTCCTCGGCCTGGTCCACGTATTCCGAGGAACGTTCTTCATAGGCTTTCCATTCAGGGCGGTGACGAAGGCGTGAATGCCGCGCTCTGTGAGTCGGCGTCGGCCGCCCTTCTGACCCATGCCTGTGTCTTTCATCGTGCGTTCGATGAAACATTTCGTACGACGAACTGGCTTGTTCATGTATTTTCTCCAACGTCACTGCTTGAGGTAGAACTGTTGTTCGTGATGGACTGCTGAGATATCAGCTAAGTCATCCCATGTGCAGTCGACATCGCCAAGGGGCGGGATGGTGTCGGCGTCGGTACCGCTGCCGTCATCTTCTATGGGGTTTACTCACACGGTGGTTGTTGGCGTCGCTGCTGGTCGCGTAGTTGATGCAATAGGTGGTGGTGGTGCCCAGGCGGTCAAGTTCCCTTGAGCGCCAGGAGGTATCTGCATGGCGTTGGCGGCGGAGGTCCAAGTACCCGCTGCAGGTGCACCTGGCTGAGCGTGGCCGTCTGCTGGTGCGTCTCCGCCAAGCGGGTACTTGCTTTCGGTCGTCAGGTGGATATCGCTTCGGCCAGGTCGGCCCAAGAGCTGGGTGACGTTGCCAGATACTACGTCAGCAACGTGCCTTGGACATCGGGTGGTTTCTAGTAGCTGGTCGAGTCCCAGCTGACTCCTAGGCATCATCCCGTTCAACGGCTGTACTAATGTTGAGACATCGATGGCGGTACACGTAGAGCTCGCACTAAGATGGTGAATCAGAGCTGGAAGTTGCCTTCCAAACCGAATCCAGCTACTTCGGCCTCCAACCTGGATGCCCCCCAACGGGCTAGGACGCTGTCGATGTGTTGGTTGGGCATAACACGGAAGTCCATGAGCTCGCAGTCTTGTTGTAGTTATCGTTCGTCTTCGAGGCTCTCGACCTTCTGCGCAAGGTAGAAGAAAGGGTATGTCACGGGGTCCGTCCTGACACCGTTTACCTCGGCGCCGAAGTAGATGACGCCTGATGGGATACGCATCGTCAGGCTACGAACGAGATCTTGAAGGCCCTGCTGCATGGTCGCAGCCTGCTAAGACGGCCTCATTCTACTTCGCGAGTCCGCGTTTGGCATGGCACATCTCCGGCCAGGCCCCAAGAAGACAGACGCGTTTAGTCACCCTCTCGGTCGCGCGTCATGTGTCCGAGCATGCCTCCAAAAGAGAGTAATTGTAGCAACGCTGAGCTAGTGAGCGCCGATGTGGGCGCTGTCCGCGGTGGAGGAGCCGGTCATGTGTCCACGATCGGTTGCTCGTGGAGGTGGGCCCGCCAGTCGGCGCACCTCGGCGTTTTAGGAAGGGATGTTCGTCACGCTTCCGTGCTCGAAGTAGGCATTGAATGTCGCGTTCCCGCGCTCGGAGGAGAGGTCGCACGTCGCGCTCCCGCGCTCGAAGGAGAGGGTGATGTCGAAGGTTGTCGAGGCCGTCGCAAGAGCGGTCGGGGCTCCTCGCGCGCTGGTAGGACGGTAGGTTGCAGCGGCAGGCCCTGTCGTAGTTGTTGTCGAAATCGTGGGGAAGGCCTTCGCGTCAGCGGTCGGGTTTCCCAGCGCACTCGTAGCCGGTGATGGCGGCGGCGCAGCGGCAGTGGCAGTAGTCGCGGGTGATGGTCATAATTTGTTTGTCCATGTGGCCCACCATGTTTCCGCAAGTACCCATCGGTCGTTGAAAGTAGGTACTTTTGGATTCCCAGGCCCCAATGTTTTAGGCGCATTCCTATTCATCCTCTTCCGTGCTCTTTGGGGGGCGGGCGGAAACCCAATATGTTTCCAGCGCCTTCCTACTGCGTGTTCTTACCCGCTTCTCTCGACCGATGGGTTACCGCAGAATCGCGTCGCCGGCCCCGCGCAAGTCGAGACCAGCAGTAAACCGACGAAAAAGAACCCTGGGCCCAGGCCCTGTCCAGGAAAAGCCCCCAGCGTCGCAGGGACAACATCGTAGCCTTCTGGGCTCAAAGCTTGTTCAGGTGCCGCGCCCCCCTCTTCCGCGGACCTGCGCCCCGCGCCTCTCTGTCTCATCTCCTCGCGCGCATGTCCAGGGCGCCTCCGTCGGCACCGCCGCGCGCCGCCGCCCCGGCGAGCGGCGGCTGTCCAAAGACGCCCGTTGGCCGCGCCAGCGAGACTGGGGCGCGCGCAACTGGGCCGCCGGTCTCGGCCCCGGAACTGGCGCGCCCCGCCCCAGCCGCCGCTAGCGGCGGCCGCCCAAAGGCGGGGCCGCCGGCCCGAGGGCGCTCGCCGCGGCCGGGGCCGCGCCCCGCAGCTTCGGCCGAGGCGGGGGCCCGCGGGCCGAGGGCCAGGGCGGAGGCGGCCCGCAGGCCGAAGGCCACGGCGCCGCGCGCGACGGGGGCCGCCGGGCCTCGGCCGGGCGTCAGGGCGCCGAGGGCGGCGGACGGCGGAGGCCACGGCGCTGCGCGCGGCGAGGGCCGCCGAGTCTCGGCCAAGCGTCGCAGCGCCGGGCGCGGTGGAGGCGCGCGCCTCGGCCGCCAACCCCCCCGCGCGCCCGCCGTTCCCATCGCCCGGGGCCAGGCTGGCGAAGAACCCCCCTGCTGCCCCCCGCGGCAGGAGTGGCCCCGCAGCTGCCGTTCCGCGCCAGAGGCGGGCCCTTCGGGGCGCTTTCCCACGGGCTCCGGCCCCGGGGTCTCAGGACGCACCTCGCAGGCGCCGCCAGCGCCGTCGGTGGCCACTTGCGCGGAGACCGCTCACTCCTGGGAGGGCGCCGCGGAGCCAGCCGGGCCTTTGCTGGCTGTCGAGGCCTTGCGGTCGGTGAGCCCAGAGCGGCTGGTCGACGCTTTGGCGGGGCCCCGCCAGGAGCAGCGCGGTTTCGGCGAGCTCCTGGCGAGGGCCCCAGCAGAGATGTCGCGGCCCAAGGAGGAGTCGGCGACGCAACAGGCAGCGGCCGCTGCTGCCGGGGGGCTCTTGACGAGCGCCCAGGCAGAAGTGTCGCGGCTCAAGGAGGAGCTGGCGACGCAGCAGAGGGCGGCCCAGGCAGCGGTGGCGCGGCTCGAGGAGGAGGCGGCGACGCAGCAGACAGCGGCCGAGGCGGCCCGTGCAGAGATGTCGCGGCTCAAGGAGGAGTCGGCGACGCAACAGACAGCGGCCGCTGCGGACGGGAAGCTCCTGACGAAGGGCCAGGCAGAAGTGTCGCGGCTGAAGGGGGGGGCTGGCGACGCAGCAGAGGGCGGCCCTGGCAGAGACGTCGCGGCTTAAGGAGGAGGCGGCGACGCAGCAGACAGCGGCCGATGCGGACCGGGCAGAGATGTCGCGGCTCAAGGAGGATCAGGGGCAACGATAGGGAAGATGGGCATAGGGGGGGGCGCATCGACCCCCGATCGTCCGTTGATCGCCGATAGGGGCCCGATAGCCCTAACCTGCCCAGGAAGGCGCGGGTTCACTATCGGGGGCTTCGCGCCGCTTTTATCAGCGATGCATCGCCGATTCCAGATCGACGCGCCCCCCCCACGCCAGCCCCCCTGTCGTTGCCCCCCAGAGGAGGCGGCGGCGCAGCAGACAGCGGCCGAGGCGGCCCGGGCAGAGCTTTCGCGGCTCACGAAGAAAGAGCCGGAGGCGCAGCAGACAGCGTCCGCGGCGGCGGACGTCGCCATCGGCGAGGCGCGCGCAAGTTCCCCGGCCAATGACGCGGAGGACAGCTGGAGCATGAGCTCGTGGATCAGGCCCCTGAGCCTACACTCCCCCGTCGAGAAAGTTCTGCAAGTGCCAGACGGCAAGGGCCCCCTTCAGTTCGCCCGTGCAATACAAAGCATGGAGCTCGATGCCCTCTGGAGAAAAGAAAAAAACTGATCTGCTGGGGCTGCGCCCGTGCCTCGAAGAGGACATTGAGGCAACGCGGGAGACGAACTCCACGACGCTTGAGTTGAACGCAAAGTTCCAAGAGGAATGCTCGTTCAGCCTGGAGTTTGGCAGTCTAGACCGCTTTTACGGTGGCCTCACTGGTTTCGCAGGCCCTGTTCGCAAACTCGAAGGATCGATTGAGAAGGACATGGAGCACGAGCACTGCAACGAATAGGATAGCAAGGTCCAGTTCACGTCCAGCAACGGAGTGACAACGTGTTCCAATATCGAGTGGGAGTTCGTCGAGAAGCCCATTGATGGCACGAAGTACCCCGACCTTTTCGAGCCTGGGGGCAGTCGTTGCCGCCGCGCCTGCGCACGGGAGGAGTTGGCGGCGAAAATGGAGGACAAGAACACAACGCCTTCAGGGACTGGTCACAGCGAGCTCATAGTTGAAGAGGCCATGGCCGCCACTTTGTACACTGGGCCCATGTACGAGAAGTACAATCTGGTGTTCCGTGCCAAGACGGGCGCACCTTGTCTCAAGGAGCGCCTCGACCATATTTCCACGCTGCACGGCATAAGCTCTTTCATCGTGAATATGTCCAAGATCACATCGGCCAGCACCCTCTGGCGCGGGTCCACGAAGGTGCACTTACCGGAGAGCCTCACGAAAAAGGATAAGTGGAACTTACGAGGCGGCATCGAATTCGGCATCACGTCGATGACGCAGGATCGCGCTCAGGCGGTGCACTACGCTGAAGGTGCGGCCTCGACAGCGTTCCAGGCTCGCCAAGGCCTAGTTGACCGAGGGGCAGAGATGAAGTGGATCAGCCAGTATCCGCACGAGGCGGAGATCCTCTTCTCTCCCCTGCTCGGCCTGGAGATGATCGGCACCTCGGTCGACCACGGCGCGGCGCTGGTGGAGCTGCGCTTGGGCCTGAACCTGACGGCGGAGACGCTGGACCAGATCACGTCGAAGCGCCATGCTCTGATGAAGGACGCCGCAACGAATGGAGAGTTGGAGATCTTGGCCGCCGCGAGAGATCAGCGGAGCTTGGGCAACTTCGCCGCCCTGGCCAGCGCCGCTTGGAAGGGCTACCCGCTGAAGCACGACGCCCAATGGTACAACAACGACGGTCACATCTTGGACTGCATTAAGGAGCTGACGACGATCAAACAGGAAGCCCAGAAACTGGCGGACCTACGGGGCGAGAAGCTAATGCAGGCCCTCGGCGCATTCACGGCGGGGCGCCCCGCCCGCCGCGAGTCGACGTCAAAGCTGGACCTCGGAGGCCGAGAAGACGTCGAGAAGTTGCCCGAGGACCTCTTCGGCTTAACGCAGCTACAGACGCTGGACCTGCGCTACTGCCCAGCCCTGCAGGCCCTGCCCGAGAGCCTGGGCCAGCTCTCAGCGCTGCAGACGCTGGACCTGGGCTTCTGCCAGGCCCTGCAGGCCCTGCCCGAGAGCCTGGGCCAGCTCGTCGATGCAAACGCTGGACGTGACCGAATGTCAGGCCCTGCATGCCCTGCCCGAGAGCCTGGGCCAGCTCTCGGCGCTGCAGACGCTGGACCTCGACGAACGCGGCCCGAGAGCCTGGGCCAGTTCTCGGCGCTGCAGCCGCTGGACCTGAGCGAATGCGCGGCCCTGCAGGCACTTCCCGAGGACTTGGGCCAGCTCTCGGCGCTGCAGAAGCTGTACCTGAGCTACTGCTGGGCCCTGCAGGCCCTGCCCGAGAGCCTGGGCCAGCTCTCGGCGCTGCAGACGCTGGATCTGCGCTACTGCCCGGCCCTGCAGGCCCTGCCCGAGAGCCCGAGCCAGCTCTCGGCGCTGCAGACGCTGGACCTGCGCAGCTGCCAGGCCCTGCATGCCCTGCCCGAGAGCCTGGGCCAGCTCTCGGCGCTGCAGATGCTGGTCCTGCGCGACTTTTGCAGCCCTGCAGGCCCTTCCCGAAAACCTGGGCCAGTTCTCGGCGCTGCAGTGGCTGGGCCTGGGCGGCTGCCAGGCCCTGCAGGCCCTGCTCGAGAGCCTGGGCCAGCTCTCGGCGCTGCAGACGCTGTGCCTGGACGAATGCGTGGCCCTACAGGCCCTGCCCGAGAGCCTGGGCCAGCTCTCGGCGCTGCAGAAGCTGTACCTGAGCGAATGCGTGGCCCCGCAGGCCCTGCCCGAGAGCCTGAGCCAGCACTCGGCGCTGCGAGTCCTGAGGTGACCTGCCGCCCAGCGGGCCGGAGCCCGTGCCCCGCGCGCGGCCGCGCGCCGCCCAGCGATCTAGGGGGCAAAGGTAGGCCCATCAAGTTGAGGGAGCCGCGGTCGAGGAGGGCGCTGGCACGGTCGCTGGCGGGTGCCCCTTGCACGCGCACGAATGATATTAATACGTGTGTTGCTTGATCGGTCTTGACGGACTGATGTTTGTGATATTGATAAGTGCGTTGCTGGATCCGCCCTTGACGGAGCTGTTGCAGCCTTTTTCTGTACCGCAGTGTTGGGGGGCTCGGCTCCAGAGGAGGAGCCGTCCGGTCGCGCAACCGCCCTGCGGTTCCAAGAAGTGCGATCGCGAATTCAGCGGTGACCGCCCAGAGGGCGCTCCGCCTCATGCTCGCCCCTTCCTCCTGCAAGTGCGCCCCAGACAGCCCAGTTGGTTCCCTCCTCGCCTGGTCCGTCATCGGCCGCCCCTCGGCTCGAGCCGCCGCCGAAAACTGATGCTGCAACACACAAGGTTTTGCAACATCCCTATTCAACAAACGTGATCGACCCACGAACCCGGAAAAAGGAATATAGAAATGTAGGGCATGGCAACGTTCCAAAGACACCTGATCAGGCGACGGGCAACTGCAATGCTGAGTGTATCGATATGGAGGTACCGTGCAGAGGGCTGTGCTGCGCTGCGCCGCGTTGACTTGCGATGTGCCATGCCGCGGTTGTGCTCTATAGCGCCGTGGATCGAGTCTTCCTTTGCATCCGAGTCCTGACCGACCTGATTTGGATCTTCAGCTCGAGCTGCTTGAGCACATAGTAGCTGCTTCAAAGGTAATTGACAGGAGACATGCCAGGATGCCAGGAGGACGCGCCGCGGAACGTCCCAATGGATCGCGCCAGCCAGGGGGACGCGCAACGGAACGTGCCAGGTCGCAAGGCTGAGTGTATCTGTTTTGATTTACCGTGCCAAAGACTGTGCTGCGTTGCGCCGTGTTGAATTGCGATGTGCAATGCCGCGAGTGTGCTCTATAGCGCTGTGGATCGAGTCCTCCTGAGCATCCGAGTTCAGACCGAACTGATTTGGATATTGAGCTCGAGCTGCCTGGGCACATGGTAGCTGCCCCAGAGTTGATTGACAGGGGGACATGCCAGGGGGAAGCGCCGCGGAACGTCCCAAGGGACGCGCCAGGCGATGTGCCAGGAGACGTGCCATGGGGACGCACCGCGGGACGTGCCAAGGCGCACTACGGAACGTGCCAATGGACGTGCCACGGGACGCGCCACTGGACGCGCCGCGCGAAGTGCCAGGGGGGCTCGCCTGGGGACGCGCCACGGAACGTGCCAGGAAACGCGCCATGTTCCAAGGCTGAGTGTATCGGTCTTGGTACCAGGGAACCGCGGTCGAGGAGGGCGCTGGCACGGTCGCTGGCGGGCGCCCCTTGCACGCGCACGAATGATATTGATAAATGTGTGTGTTGCCGGATCGGTTTTGACGGACTGATGTTTGTGATATTGATATGTGCGTTGCTGGATCCGCCCTTGACGGAACTGTTGCAGCCTTTTTCTCTGCCGCAGTGTTGGGGGGCTCGGCTCCAGAGGAGGAGCCGTCCGGTCGCGCGGCCGCCCTGCGGTTCCAAGAAGTGCGATCGCGAATTCAGCGGTGACCGTCCAGAGGGCGTTCCGCCTCATGCTCGCCCCTTCCTCCTGCAAGTGCGCCCCAGACAGCCCAGTTGGCCCCCTCCACGCCCGGTCCGTCATCGGCCGCCCCTCGGCTCGGGCCGCCGCCGAAAACTGATGCTGCAAAACAAAGCATCCGTTTTCAACAAATGTGATCGACCCACGAACCCGGAAAGGAAGATAAAATTGTAGGGTATGGCAACGTTTCAAAGACACCTGGTTGGGCGACGGGCAATTGCAATGCTGAGTGTATCGATATTGATGTACCGTGCAGAAGTCTGCGCTGTGCTGCGTCGTGTTGGATTGGTTGAATTGCGATGTCTTTGGTCCCCGTTGCTGGGCCCCGATGGGCGATGTCTTACCCCCTCTTCCTCCCTCCTCCTCCACCTCCTCCTCCTCCTCCCCTTCTTTTTTGTGCAAGAGCCATGGCGCACGTGTCACTTGTTTTTTCTTTCGGGCTCCAAAGCTGAAATTACAATGTTTAAAGCCGTCAATTTGCCAATTGCGCTGGCGAGAACCACGAACAATATTTAAAAACAGGTAATATCAGAGGAGTTCGCAACATCGAAAAACATGTTACGTTGTTTGACACTTCTTCATGTCTTGCCAACGACGTTCCGAACGCGTCCGCCAATATGTTCCCGGACAATTGTTGGATAATTTCAACGGAGACCCGCAGTTTAAGTAATACTTTGCCGTTTCAGTAACAGAACTACCGTTTCAATAACCAGTCCTCTCGCTTCAGTAACAAAACCCACCGATTCAGTAACAAACCGCGCCATTTCCGCACCATTTCAATAACAAACCCAATCGTTTCAGCACTGAGCCTTGCAACAAAGACGGCACCTACGTAGACAAACTAAAAAGGGAAAATTAGGTTTCTGGTGTTGCAGTGGCGGCCGGAAATACATTTCGACGACGACTTGCCCTACGATGCTGAAATTCTTCGCAAGCTTGGGCCAAAGATCTGCTGGACGACAACGAATCTGCACGAAGGAAATGGGCACGGAAAGAATGTGTACAATGGGCTGTACCCATTCCGGGCGTCCAAAAATGGTACGGCACGAATGGGCCGTACCGGAATGGGTACGGCACGAATGGGACGCCCGAGTGGGACGGCACGAATTTGGACGCCCCGAATGGGTGCGGCACGAATGGGCCGTACCCATTCCGGTCGTCCAAAACGAAATCCCCGGTGCCGTTGCAAACTGTTCAAACCGGCCGTGCTTGCAAATCTACCGGTGGAAATTGCCGGGGCGCACGCAGGGCGGCCTGCACTGCCTTCTTGCTGCGGCGGTTCGGAGTGCACAGCAGCTAGCGCGACCGTGTCCAATGGCAGCGGGCATTTGTATCGTCTTCGGATTTTCCCCTTCCTTATGCTCACTATCCGCTCTCACCCTTGCCATGTGCATGTTTATTCTTCACGCGGTTTGACGAGGTTATCGTGTTCATCTTCCTTCTCCTTCTCCGTTTCCCCTCTCCGTTTGTCGGTTATAGCCGCTTATTTGCCATAGTGGCGATGCCGACGAAATTTGTCACACTTCGCGTGCGTCCACCAGCACCTACAGGAGTGCAACACTTGCATGACTTTTTCCAATCAGGATAGCGGGAAGGATAGAGAAGGAAGAAAACAAATGGAGAAGGGAAAAAGGAGGGATGATACAGATTCGATCATGCGACCAGCCACGGAAACGTTGATGCCCGGAAAACATTGGTTTGAAATACGTATTGAGTCCCAACCGCTCGAATCATTAAATTTGCAGCCGTGTGGCTATGGCGGCATGGTGGTGCATTGGCACCACCCCGATGACGCGCCCGTGGCGAATATTTCCAATAAAGCCATGTCATTTGCTTCCATTTATTTTCGAATAAATCATACAATCAATATTCCCACTTTCCGACGCTGTCGCGCTACATGCATCCATGTTGGTCCCACCAAGGTAATTCATGTAGCCATCGTGTATGAATTGTTGGGGATATTCGAGGCGTTTAAAAATATGAATTCTTAAATTTCCACGATCTTAGACCAGCCACGGGACTCGCAATCCGCGTGGCGTTCATGGTCTTTTGTTTTCCTCTGCACGGATTTTCCCCTCCGCTTCGCAATCAACGTGCCGCAGCCATTTCTATTCAAAGGCAAACATGGGCAAACGGCATGTTTGTGTGATAGTATTGCACGAATCCAAGTACAAGCAACCATAAGTTCCCATAATTGCACGAACGGACCCCATAACCGTACGGGCAAGCGTCCACCGTTGTATTAATAAGTTTCCATAAATGTACCCGCCGGTTTCCGTAAACCACATCCATTGATTTCCATGTTATCCTTCCGGACTTCATGTGGAAATGAAAGCGTATTTTAGCCCGATTACATTCAAACGGCCAGAATTTGAAAACGGCCCCAATTCCCTCATGAAACCGACGGCAATTCTAGAACCGACGGTGTGTGGATTCTTCGATAATTATGTTTCTCTAATTGCCGACGTTGATATATATATATATATATATATATATATATATATATATATATATATATATATATATATATATATATATATACAAGATTTTAAGGCTCGCTGCGCTTCGCCTTCTAATCTTGATCCTTGCACCTACGATGTTTCTGGGCGCGGGCGAGAACACAATTGTTCAATGAGGTGTGTGGGAATTGTGCGAGCGGAGGCGAGGCGAGGCGAGTGCGCGGTAGCGCCCGGGGCGGGGCTCAGGGCGCAGCGTTGGTGGACGCTTGAGTGGAGGCGAAGGTGGAAAGTCGGATGCCGGACGCTAGAGGTCGGAGTGCTGAGCTGATGGAGGCTGGAAGTCTATAGGTGGAAGTCCCACCAGCCCTTTAGGGCTACGGTGGTATAGCGAGTTTGGTCTTCTCTCTTCCCCTTCCTTCCCCTGCTCGGGGGAGGGGTAACCTTCCCCTGGACCTGGAGGGGGGGGGATGGAGGCGTTAGAGCGTCCAAGACGGCTCAAGATGGCTCCAAGAGGCGCTCCAAGTCGCAAGATGGCCTCCAAGATGGCCCAAGATACCTCAAGATGGGTCAATATAGCCTCCGACACACCTCCAAGAGTCCTCAAGACGGATCCAAGTGCCCTTCGAGCCCTCCACGGCGCCCTCCAAGAAGCCAGAACCCTTCAAAAGCTTAAGGAAAGTCCATGTGTTTGGCATTCTCGTCTTTTCGCTTCCGATGGGCCCCTGAGGCATCAAGATGGCCCCAATATGGCCCAAAAGAGCCCCAAGAGGGGCCCAAGAAGGCCCAAGACGGCCCCAAGATCGCCCAAGAGGCTTCCAAAGAGCGCTCCAACACGTCCCCAAGACGCCGTTTGAG